GCTGAGAGAAGGATGCGGACATGGCACAGACAGGGGACAGGACAACATCAGGGACCCAGAGCAAAGCACCCCAGGAGACGCGGCAGGCCCCAGGCCCCAGGGAAGCGTCCTCAGAAACTCCGGGCAGGAGGCAGGGGGATGGAGAGACAGGCATGGGCCCAGCATGCAGCTCCAGCTGGGGCTGGGGGCACCAGGGGCTCCCACAGATGATGGTGGGCGGGCTGTCTGGGACAATCACCTCTAACCCCGCCAAGACACGCAGACAGGTGGCGTGCGGCTGGGTGAGTCACCGTGACTCACCCCCTCCCTAGGGACGGTGCCCGGCCCTGGGGCCCCCGGGCCCCTCACTGCCCTCGGGGGAGCCCAGCTCACCACCTGCCCCCCTCTGTGCCTGGCCCGCAGGAGGACACAGCCGCAGCTCTCCAGCGGCTTGTGGAGCTGACGGCCCCCAGGGTGACCCTGGTGAGGAGTCTGCACGTCCAGTACCGGCTCATCCGAGAGCTCGGCTCCGGCTCCTACGGCCGCGTGCTCCTTGCCCGGCCCCGCCATGGGGGTGAGTTCAGCCACCGAAGGGCAGACTCCAGGATTGCCCCCTTAGAGGGCTCCCAGAAGCCACTGAGACAGGGCACATCCTCGGAAGGTGCTGATGGGGACCCTTTGTGACGGGCTTTCAGAAAGTTAAGGGCTCAGCCGGAGGGCAGGAGGCTTGCCCGTGTCACATAGCAACACAGAAGCACAACTTGGGGTGGAAGCCAATCACCCCATCCTTTACTGCATGCGAGAGGAAGCTGAGGCCAGGGAGGGGCAGGCAGCTGTGCAGGCCACCCAGCAGAGCAGGGAGAGCTTGCAGGAAGGTCGCCTCCAGGCTCTACTTCGCCCAAGAAGCTGGCGGCATAAAGAGGTCAGCTGCTCTACCCTGCCCCTCTCAGATTTACACGTGAGCTCCCTCAAGCTCAGAGAGGTTAAGCAGCCTGCCTGAGGCCCCCCAGCGAATCAGAGCCCCTTGGGTTACCTTCCACCCCCGCCTCCCTGGCAGGTCCGGCGGTGGCTCTGAAGCTCCTGCGCCGGGACTCGGTCCTGAGGACCACCTTCCTGAGGGAGTTCTGTGTGGGCCGCTGCGTGTCGTCACACCCAGGCCTGCTCCGGACCCTGGTGGGACCCCTGCAGACCCCCCGACACTTCGCCTTCGCACAGGAGTATGCGCCCTACGGGGACCTCAGCGGGATGCTGCAGGAACGGGTGAGGGACGCGGGGGACAAGGGTGGGGCTGCTGAGCCCACGTCCAGCTCTGCCCCTAGGCCCTCTTCCATCTCCCAGTCTGACTCAGGAATCAGTGCCCAGACTAGCTCCACTCTGAGCCCCCAAACAAGCTACCTATTTCCCATTCTCAGCACAATTCCATGCCTGGCCCTCACGCAGCCAACACCCAGATGCGCATGCTTGGGTGGGGCCCAGGGCTGGGGATGAGGGCAGCTCAGGCCTGAGCTGTGGGGGATGAGTGTGCGGGTGGGGGTGGAGGCAGAGCTGGGGCTCTGGTCAGCCCTGGGCTTGGAGGCGCGGCTGCGGGCTGGCTGGCGGGTAGAGTTTCAGGGGATGCTGTCCTGGTGATGGGTGTGGACAGCACGCTGGGGGTGCAGGATGAGGGAGAGGAGGCAGAGGACCCGCACAGAGTTGGAGAGGGGCTGGGACAAGGCTCCCTCTAGAAAGGAGAACAGGTCACCACTGACCTGTGAGATTGTGGGGGCACTTGAGTTTGAAGATGAGGGTGAGTCCATCTTTAGGAATAGACCTTGGAGTTGAGATAGGTTTGGGGATAAACAGGAGGAAAGAGGGGAGGGAACTGAGGAGATGGGAGGGTGGATGGGCGGGCAGGTGGATGGATTGCTGGGTGGGTAGATTTATCAATCGATTTGATGAAGTAAACTACAGGGTGACTTTAGAACAGGGCCCAAGGCAGAGATGGGATCTAAATTACCACGGGACCAGGATTAAGTATGGGGTTTGGAGATATGGGTGATCAGTTTAGAGGCATTAAGAAATGTAAGGACTGGGTTTGAGTATTAGGTTTAGGGAAAAGTTTGGTGGAAGCTAGGAGAGCTGGTTAGATTTGGGATTCCTGTGGGTAGAGCGTCTGGGTGTCAGTCTACAGGACCACGGATGTGGGTGCAGGTGGGGGTCGAAGATCTGGAGAAGATTTTGGGGGATGTTGTAGGGACACTAGAGTAGCCACTAGCCTAGGGTTCTGGATTCTCAAAGCCCAAAAGAAAGGGGGCCAAAGGCGCCCTGACCTTCATCCTCTCTCCTTGACCCCAGGGCCTCCCAGAACTGCTGGTGAAGCGCGTAGCAGCCCAGCTGGCCGGAGCCCTGGACTTCCTTCACAGCCGGGGGCTGGTCCATGCGGACGTCAAGCCAGATAACGTGTTGGTCTTTGACCCCGTCTGCAGCCGTGTGGCCCTGGGAGACCTGGGCCTGACCCGGCCCGAGGGCAGCCCAACCCCTGCACCCCCAGTGCCCCTGCCCTGCGCCCCACCCGAGCTCTGCCTCCTGCCGCCGCCTGCCACCCTGCCCCTGCGAGCTGCGCTGGACTCCTGGGGCCTCGGGGTGCTTCTCTTCTGCGCCTCCACCGCCCGCTTCCCCTGGGATGTGGCACTGGCTCCTGACCCGGGGTTCGAGGCCTTTGCTGGCTGGATGGCCGCCAGGCCCCAGCCCCCTCAGCCCCCAGCCCCTTGGCACCAGTTCGCACCCCCGGCACTGGCATTGCTCCAGGGGCTTCTGGACCTGGACCCTGACACTAGGAGCACCCCCCTCACTGTTCTGGACTTCCTGGGGGATGACTGGGGGTTGGAGAGGAACAGAGAGGGGCCTTGGGGCCTGAGGAGCATGTCCAGTGAGGATGGGGAGGAGGCGGAGGGGGGAGCAAGCCTGGAGGAGTGGACGGAGGAGGAGGAGGAGGGGGTTGGAGGCGGAGGCAGGATGGGGACAGAAGGGGGAGCTTCCTGACCAGGTGGCTGAACAGGTGGTGGGTGCCGGGCCAAAGGCCCTCCCCCAGCCCCACTGCCACCTGGATGAAGAGACAGCTGCTCCGGGGAGCCAGAGGAGGGGCACATTGCATCTCTGCCTGCTGAAGGCTGGGCGCGCATGCACACCGCGCGGCCCCCCGCAGAACACCTGGGACTCCGGCCCTGCCTCCTCAGACCCAGCAGTCCAGGCCCCCGGCCTCCTCCCTCAAGGATCCTTCCTATTCCTTCTGTCCTGAATGTGTCTTCATGAAGAAAGGGGCTTTTCTGGCATAGATCCATCTCCGCCGGCAGGGGCTTGATGAACGCTTCTCAGGGGGTCCTGGTGGGTCACTCCTGTCTCCTAAGACCTTGGGTGACTCCCTCTTTCTGGCACCAAATCTGGGCTTTCAGGATCCAGTACCATGGAAACCACCCTCCACCTCACCTGTGTCCCTGAGTTGTGTGCCACCGGGGGCATCACCTCCTCTGGACCTAAATGTGCACACGTGTACACACATGCACAGGCACACTCGCTTCCTGCCTGCAGACACTTGCGCATCCTTTGTCCACCCCCGGCCTCTCCAGGCCTCGTCGGGAAGCTGCAGGAGAGGCGGCGGTGTCTCCACCTTCCAGGGTCTGCCTGCCAGGCTGTCCAGGACGGATGTGGCCTTTCTCACTCTTGCATCCTTTCAGGTCTGCCCCCACTTAGCAGGTGGCCTGTGCCAGCTCCAGGCAGTGTGGAACACCACGGCGTGTGCCCGTCCCGGCTCTGAGGGCCTGCTGACCTGGCCATGCAGAGTGCTGCACTGGTTTGCAGGGGTCTCAGATCCCCCGGACTAGGCTGGGCGCCCCCCCACCTCCCCCACAGCCCCCGGACCCTGGTCCTGCTGCTCATGCCTGAGGGCAGGGGCTGCGTGGATCCCCCCCGGGACCCACACCACATGCTCTCTAGACTTAGAGAAACGCTTCTGCAACGTGGTGTCCTGGACTGGACCGCAGGACAGAGGGAGGCTGGTGGGGGGAGCCCTGGTGAGCCAGGGGAGCTGAGTTTGACAATGAGCTTCTCAGTCTGGATGGATGAGCTCTCCACTGAGATGCACCTGGTGGGGAGCCGGCCAGGAGATGAGGGCGCAGTGCCATCTTTGCAGGTGTTCTGTGAATCTCGTTATTCCAAAATAAAAAGTTTATTAAAACAAATTGAGTTCACACTGGTCATCTCGCTACAAACCTGAGCGGGGAGAGTGCTCCAGGCACCCCCCCACTCCATCAGACCCGGGGTCCCCGCCTAGCTGCCCCCAGTCTGAGTGCAGGGCACAGACCGCCCTCCCCACCCCAGGGCTCCTCTCTCCCCAGTTGCTCCACCACCTGCTCCCCGGTGGCCCCAAGGCTGAGATCATCCCACACTGGCCACTTTGGAATCCCGTTGTCTCATCCTTTCCTCAAACAGGACCCCAGTGTGTCATCCCTTGGGCACCCCCCATCCAACACTTGTGTCTGACCCATCAACGGGGCACTGATGGGGCAGTGGGTGGGGTCGAGGCAGGGTCAGCCAGAGAAATGACTTCATCCTCCACAGGGCCCAGACTCCCGGGTCTGAGGGAGGGGGCTGGGGCCTGGACTCCCTGGTCTGAGGGAGGAGGGGCTGGGGGCCTAGACTCCTGGGCCCAAGGGAGGAGGGGCTGCGGGCCTGGGGCCGGGGTCTGAGGGAGGAGGGCTGGGGGCTGGACTCCTGGGTCTGAGGGAGGGGCTGAGGGCTGGACTCCTGGGCCCAAGGGAGGAGGGGCTGGGGGCCTGGACTCCTGGGTCTGAGGGGGAGGGCTGTGGGCCTGGGGCCGGGGTCTGAGAGAGGGGCTGGGGGCCTGGGTTTGGGACGTTTGTCTGGCCACTGCTAGTTCTGGGAGTCAACACAGGATGTCGCTCTCCCCCTAATAGGTCGGAAGGGGCGGGACGGGGCGGGGCTTAGGACCCCTAGGTGGGGGCGGGGTCTCGCTCCTGGGCAGGCCTCTGTTGGCATGGGCTGTAAGTGCCGGACACTGTCCACAGCGGGCAGCGGAAGGGTCAGGCGAGCCTTGGAGAAGGTGAGGTCTGGAGGTTGGCGCCCAGGTCCAGAGGGGGCAAGGGTTAGACAGCCTGAGGTGGGCAGCACCTGGAGTGAAGCCAGGCAGGTGGCCAGAGTCCTGGGTCCCTCAGGGGATCACAGCTGGACTTGGAGGCTGTAGGGTGGTTGGGTGTTAGGGGCTCAGGGTCTGCGAGTCCTAAGGCTGGTGAGCTGTGCGAGGCTCCAGGAGAGGAGGGGGCTGTGGGCTGGACGCCCAGGGGTCAGAGGAGGGGGCGGCCCGTCCCAGCCAGCCAGCCAGACCCCAGGCCTCTCAGGCACTCCTCCTAAGCACTCGCTCCTAGCAGAGCCAGGCCTTCGACCCCAGGCCCCCGTGTGTGCAGCCGCCCCCGCCAGCCTCTGGGGGCGGAGAGCACCTGTTTGCTCGTAGGAGGCAAAGGCTGTTCACCCACCCCCAGGGCCCAAGGCTGTTTGCTTTGGAAACAAGGTGAGGGGTGTCTCAAGTTATCTGGTTCATCTTTCACCCTTGGGCCATTGGGTGGCACAGGGATGTGGGGGCAGGGGCGAGGAACATGTGTGACCTCAGGCTTGACCTCACCCCAACCAGCAGCTGGTCACCCTGCTCCTCAGATGCCCCTATGAAGAGGGAGACCGAGTCACACTGAGAAGTGCCAATGAGCCCCCAGCCTCTTCCCTCGGACCCAGGAGCCCAGCCCCCCAGCCTTCCCCCTTGAACCCGGCTCTGGTGACCCTCTGCACCCTGCCCTGCAGAGATGCCCGGCAAGCGATCAGAGGAGGAGCAGGCGGAGGTGGGGGCAGCAGAGGCTGGAGCTGACGCGGGCCTGGGGGGCCTCACGGCAGAGGAGCTGCAGCAGGGCCAGGAGGCAGCCCTGGAGCTGGAGGACATGATGGCGCTGAGCGCGCAGGCCCTGGTCCAAGCCGAGGTGCAGGAGCTCTACGAGCAAGTGCGGCCCTTGGGCAAGGGCCGCTTCGGACAGGTCCTGCTCGTCACCCACCGTCAGAAAGGTACCGGGGCCCGGGGCAGAGGCTGGGGGCCCGGGGGTGGCGGTGTGGGCCCAGTGGGAAGCCCATCAAGGCCGCGGGCAGGGTGGGGGGTCTGCGAACCTGAGCCAGGTCCTGCCTCTGCCCTTCCAGGCTGTGTGTTCTCAGGAACTCCTCTACCCTCTCTGAGTCTCCTTTGAAAATGTGTGATGATTCCTTCCCTGAAAGAGCGTATGTTGACGGCTTTAGTTACCAGGGGCGATGGGGAGCAAGACAGTCCCGCCCACCACCGTGACCCTCACCTGTGGCTGGCTCAGTGGCCACCACGGGGGTGACTCATGGGGATGCTGCCTGCCGGGTGCTTGGCAAGGCAACACTGGGTGGGTGTGCGGGATGCACTCCCTGGCCCCAGCCTGGTACATTTCTGCCAAGTGCACACACGCCCCGTCCTTCCCCTACTATGGATGGAGCCCGAGGTCAGTGTCAGCTCAGGACACACCTTCCAAGGCCACCTGTTCTGGGTGGTGCTGGGGACCCGGAAATGAATCTGAGTCAGCCCGCCCTCAAAGAGGAGGCCCACATGATGGGGAGAGCGTTAGCGCAGGCCTATCAAAGCACCACAGGGCAGCTGAAACAGCGGAAATGTGGCTGCACAGCTCTGGAGGCTGCTCTCGGAGTCTTCCCTGCGACCTCACGTGGTGGTCCCCACATGCATGTCTGTGTCCAAATGCCCTCTTTCCATACAGATGCCAGGAGCCCAGCCCACCCAAATGACCTCACTGTACCTCTTCCAAGACCCTCTCTCTACTAGGGTCAGGTTCTTTGATGCTGGGCTGAGCACATCATGGTGTGAATGGGGTGGGTGGCAGGGGCAATCCAGCCCATAGCAGAGAAAGACGAAAGGAGAGAGATCCAGGCTGGGTCCTGGCAGAAGCTGGGGGCCAGAGTCCTGGGGGGACCAGAGGCATCACAAAGGGGGCTTTGTCAGGCTTCATTCAATGCACATCTTGAGGGCCTGGCCTGGGCTGGGTTGGATCTGAAGAGGCAGCGGTCCGTGTGGCGGGAGCACAGGCGGAAGATGGCCATACCATGCCAGCGGATCCAGGGCCCTGGAGATGCCTCCCATGGATCTAATACCCCGTGTGGGCATCTTTGCCCAGGTGCCTCAGACACGGCTCCCGGGCATGGGCCTGCTGGAACCAGGGGCCGGCTGGGTCCCTGGGGCTCAAGGTCACTTTTCACGGGTTCCCTCCGTCTGCTCCAAGAAGGCAGACTTGTCAGAGCAGCACAGAAATCCACTGAATGCAGTTGTCTAGTATGATCATCATTGACACTGGTGGTGTTTTGGAGCCAATGGAATTTTGAGGGGGGCTCAGGAGGAGGCAGGGTGGGAGGAGGAGGGGGGCGTGTACAGAGGCCGGGCTGAGGGGTCAAGCTTGACTCCCCCACCCCGGGCCTGTCCCCGCTGTCCCCAGGTACCCCCCTGGCGCTGAAGCAGCTCCCCAAGGCCTCCACTTCCCTCCGTGGCTTCCTGTATGAGTTCTGTGTGGGCATGTCGCTGGGCACGCATTCAGCCATCGTGGCGCCGTATGGTATCGGCATCGAATCGGCTGACTCCTACAGCTTTCTGACGGAGCCTGTCCTTCACGGGGACCTCATCGCCCTCATCCAGCCCAAGGTGGGTAGACAGACCTGACAGGACCTCCCGCCACCCCACTGGGTCTCCCAGAAACACACCGGGACAAACCTGGGCCTCAGGAGCTACTCCCACCGCACTGGGCCCCACCAGGCCTCACGCAGCCCTGGGTCCTGCAGGGTCATTAGGTCTCTGTGGAGTCCACTGACACCACACACCCTGCTGAGATTCGCCAGCCCACCTATCAGAGGCCCTTCGTCCCCCTGGGCTTTCCGGGGTCTGCGGGGAACGGGACGCTCCAGGCATGACGCCGTCCCCCGCAGGTGGGCCTCCCGCAGCCGGCAGCCCAGCGCTGCGCAGCCCAGCTGGCCTCGGCCCTGGAGCACATTCACTCCCACGGCCTGGTGTACCGGGACCTCAAGCCAGAGAACGTGCTAGTGTGCGACCCGGCCTGCCGGCACATCAAGCTGACCGACTTCGGCCACACACGGCCCCGAGGGACCCTGCTGCGCCTGGCAGGGCCGCCCATCCCCTACACGGCCCCCGAGCTCTGCGGTCCCCCACCCCTCCCCCAGGGCCTGCCCATCCAACCTGCCCTGGATGCCTGGGCGCTGGGCGTCCTCCTGTTCTGCCTTCTCACTGGCTACTTCCCCTGGGACCAGCCCCTGGCCGAGGCCGACCCGTTCTACGAGGACTTCCTCCTCTGGCAGGCCTCGGGCCAGCCTCAGGACCGTCCCCAGCCCTGGGGTGGCCTGACGCCTGTGGCAGACACTCTCCTGTGGGGGCTGCTGGACCCTCGGCCCCAAAGGAGGAGCCCCGTGGGCTCTGTCCGCCCCTACCTGGGGCGGCCCTGGAGGCAGCGGGAGGGGGACGAGGAGGAGGTGGACTAGCCGGCTGAGGGGGCCTGGCGGGCCTGCTGTGCCGTGCCCGCCTCTGTCTGCGTCCCCTCGTCCTGGGGCTTGGCCATGCTCCTTCCCTCACCTCCCCCAACCCCAGGCTTGCCCGCCTTGGAGGCCTTCCCTCAGCACCCACGGCCACACTGTGGCCGACCCTCACTCTCCCCTGCCAGCCCTTCCTTGGCGACGCTCACTCCTCGGGGGCCCTGTGCCCTCTGGGTGCCGCCTGGGCCTGGCGCACACACACACACACACACACACACACACACACACACACACACGCTCCTCCTCGTCTCTCTTGCTGGGTCCCCTTCACTCTCTCTGCCCTTTTTCGGCCACGCACGTGCTGGGTCGATGCTCTCTTGATAACATGCTTCCTCTCCTCTCCCCCAGCCTCCCCCTGCAAATAAAACCCATGTGATGCTCTGGTCCCTGGGATGCTCTTCCCTGTATCTCAGGCAAGAGAGGGATGGTGTGCGGGCGGGTGGCTTGGAGAGCCGTGGGGGACAGACACGGAGACACAGGGAGACAAGGAGGAAGTGGAACCACAGGGTGACCCTGCGTGCCAGAGGCTGGCTGTGGACGGCCGGGACTGGGGCACAGCAGCGACAGCGTGCTTGGGGCCTGCTCCATGGGCAGACGCAAGACAGGCAGAGGGGTCAGCCATTGGGCGGGAGAGTGCCCGGCTGCTCGTGGGCAGGAGTGTGCATTTCTGTGCATTCGTGTCCACGAGTGGCTGAGCAGGCATGCATGCACAGGTGGGGCAGTGGGTGAGGGTGTGGCCGAGTCCCTGTATGTGGGCACTGGGGCTGTGTGTGCATTCGTGTCCAAGAGGGGCTGAGCCCAAGAGCATGGACGCCCCTGTGGGAAGGTGTGACCGGAGTGCAAGCTTGGGTGCCTCTCGCTGTGTGTGTGGACAGTCAGGCCCGTGTGTGTGTGTCTGTGACAGGGACATGTTGCATGTTGCAGGGACAGAAGAGTCGGCAGGCGCCCCTGTGGTCACCAGCTGGGCCCCGTCTCCTTCACATACCCCCCTTGTCCTGGCCCCTTCTTGGCAGCCGCCCTGTTTGCAAACACTGTCTCTTCCTCTCCGTGCCCTCCTTGGCCACCAGCCCGGAGCAAGGCTACAACTCAGGGCTGGATCATGTGTCACTCTCTCCCAGGCCCCTGAACCCTGCCCAGGGCCCATGCTGTGACTGCCTATGCTGCCTGAGAGAAGCTGGGGAGGTGCGGGAGGAGTGACCTCAAGGACCATTTAAATCTAGATTCAATCCAGAGAACTGGAGACATGGGTCCCTGTCCTGGACAATCCAGGTGAGCTTCCTGAAGTAGGGGTTGTTGGAGAGAATCAGGGTAGTATTAGGGGGGCGCATGACCAGGACTCCTGCCACCTTATCCGTGAATCTGAAATAGTCCCAAAATAGCCCTAGCAATTAGGCCAAGAATGTGTCCAGAAAAAGGTGGTGGCAACTGGGGTGTGGGGGAAGCTGGGTGAGGGGGTGGAGAGGGGCAGGGGCAGGCCTCCGAGGGTGTTAATTGATGGCAGCAGCTGAGGATTAACTGGGAGGTGATAATGACTGGGGGATGGAAATCCCCAGAAAGGTCCTGAAGGGGCAGGGGGCAGGACTACTCAGGTATTTGCTACTTAATTCTTAATATAATTGCAATATTTAATGCTAAGGAAGCGACAGGCAGACAGCACCTGCTCATTCCAGAAGGTCCTCTGGATCTCACGAGTGGGCATTGTGCCCAAAGCAGCTCACAGGGCAGGTAGGGGGGCAGAGTCCAGATTCCAAACTGGGTGGGCTCCTGTCCAGGATCCGAGCTCCTAAACTCAGGGCGGGGGGCAGAGGGGGTGCATCCTCTTGCCATCACGGTGAGGGGCCCCGAGCGGGGCTGGACGTGTGGGCAGGGGCGTGAGTGTGCACTGGTGGGTGGCCACCCCTGCAGGAGGCAGGCTAGGGCACCTCACGGTGAACACAGAGGCAGGAGGCTGCAAACACCTAGGACCCTCCGAATGCCACGAAAGCAGCCGACGGCACGCGTTGGCGAGGCTGTGGAGAAGCGGGGACCCTCCCACAGTGCTGCGGGATGTAAACGGCGGCTGCACAAGACAGTCTGGAAGCTCCTTCAAGTGCTGACTGAGCATGGAATTAGCACGTGGCCCAGCAAGTCCACTCCTAGGTACACACCCACAGGACACAACAACAGGTGTGCACACGGACATCTGTGGCACTGCTACTCACAGAAGCCAAGAAATGGAAACCACCCAACGGCCCCCCGACAGGCAAGGGGACATAAGAAATGCAGCCTGGACACAGCCGCAGAAAGGAAGGAATCTGACACGGACCGCGTTGGGGAACCTCGACATCATGCACAGGGTGGAAGCCCGTCAGAACAAGATCCACTGTAACTTCCATTTTGAAGATGTCCAGACTGGCAGATCCACAGAGACGGAAAGATTAGTGGCTGCCAGGGGTGGGTCCTGCGGGAAACGGGGGGCGACTGCTAATGGGCACGGCCTCTCTTTTCCATGGTGGTGGAAACGTTCTAATGAGTTTGTGGTGAGTGTTCCGCAATTCTCTGAACCTTTCAAAAACCAATGAATCGTACACGGAAAAAGGCTGGATTTTACGACATAGAGAGTTCATCTCAGTGAGGCTGATTATTTTTTTTAAACACAGAGTTTCTAAAGCTCCCGTGCTGTGCCTGCGGTCAGGTTCCTCTCCGCCTCTGAGCCCTGAATTCCCATTAAAAAGAAAAGAAAACTCCCGCCCTCCAAATAGCTCTGAATTCAGGACTAGTCATCAGGAATCCAGCCCCTAAACCCAGGGCCCACTCACTACTCCTGTCTCCACTTTACAGAAGAGACCATCAGGGCCCTGACAGAAAAGCCACTTTCTAAAGACCCTAGAGTCAAAAGGCGGCAGAGTTGGGACTGAACCCCACTCTGGCCTGATTCCAGAGTCTGTTCTTAACCCCCACCCAGCACCTCGTGAAGTGTACCTGGGCCGGTGATGGCCAAGGAGTTCTTGGCCCCCCCCCAGCTGAGGAACCCTGAGCTTGCAAGCAGAATGTTGCAATATTTGTGGATGTGATGTCAGTGCAAATGAAATGTGAGGTTTCTTGTTTTTTTTTTCAAACACTTTCCCTCTCCCTCACTCCCCCTTTCTCCCTCTGTGGATGTCAGGCTCTCTTGGCTCTGAGATACTCGAGCCTCAGAGGGGTGGGGTTCATGGTGCCTGCCTGAGGGTGGAAAGCCGGGTGCTGGGCCGCCAGAATGCACGGGGAAGCCACACTTCGCCCGAGCCCAGGCTCCAAGCGTCCATCGCATGCTCTGCTATCCCATCGACTTCACTTACAAAACACAAACGCAGCGGTCCCGAGGAAGGTGGCTCTGCTGAGAGCCCAGCTGGCCACAGAGCCAGGGTCCTCTCCACCTGCCTGTGGGAGAGCTGTCAGCGCTGCAGGGGGCTGGCCTTCTGCAGTTGCTCGTTTGCCGCTTGGGACTAGAGGACAGATAGATACGCACGCAACCCGAGCATGGCCTCTCAGACTCCAGGGCAGCCAGGAATCACCCATCTTGTTAAAATTAACATAAGGCTCTAATCCAATGGGCCCAAGGTGGTGCCCAAACCCAGCTTGTCTAACCAGCTCCCGGGGGAGGCCTGTGCTTCTTGTCCACAGGTCACACTTTGAGGTGCAAGGAACACAATTTTAGAGGATTGATCCTACGTCCTAGCTAAATGTGTATGGATGGTAACCATTTGTCCACTTGATTGTCTGGGGTTTTCTATGTGGACAGCCATGCCACCCCTGGGAAATGACGGCTCTGTGTCTTCACCACCGGCTGTCTGACTGAGGAATGCCCTCTGCCGCCTCTTTGCTAGGAGCGTGCACGCACGTCTGTTTGTGAGCAGTGAATGGGTGTTGAATCTTGTCGAATGTTTTCTCTGCATCAGTCAAACTTGCTAGGCTGCTGCAGCTACTGTTCTGGGCCCGTTGTAAGCTGGCAGGCCCAGGATCAGGTTCAGCTGTCCCGTGGGAGGTGTCCATGGTCAGGGCCAGCAGGAGGTGGGGGCTGGCCTCCCATACTGGCCCTGGGCCCTGGGGCCAGATGTTCGGGCTTAGCTGCTCAGCCAAGCAGGATAGAGTGACCAGATAATTAAGCACCCACTTCTTCAGGATTGGCAGAAGGTACAGGGGGTGGAGAGACCTCAGGCTAGAATGCCCAATGGCACCCCCAACCCTGGCTTGCAGAGAGGGGCCTGGAGCCTGAACCCTCAGTGGTGACCCAGAGCTAGGGTTCACCTGTGCCCATCTGGAAATGGGAAAGGAAGCCTTTTTCTGCCAAGTTGGGGTGCCATCCTCTGAGTCCTAGCTACCCAAGATGGACAGGGGAAGACAGGCAGAAGCCCCTCACCCCCAGCCCTCCCCAGGTAACCAGTCAGAGGTTAGTTAAGTCTTGGGACTTAATGAGACCTGGGCCAGCGGCTTCTCCACCTGCTCCTTCGCCTGTTGGCAGGGGCGGTCCATCCATCAGGACCCTCAGACATTATACCTCTCCCAGCCCAGCAAGTAACTGGACCCTGCTGGCCTTTATAGGACTGTGGGGGCGCCAGCTTCATGACCTTCCAGGACCTCTGAGCCAGGCTCCAGGCGGGGGAAAGAGGGAGGAGCGAATGGTTCCTGCCTGAGCTGCAGGAGTTGGAATTGGAGTTGGGGGTCTTCCTAGCCAACCTCCAGCTTATATGCTGAGGCCTGGGTTGGGGAGGGGGCCCACCCAAGGTCACTCAAAGAGGGCCCTGCATTAAGTCCTAACCTGGAGCCAGGCCAGCGTGGAAGCAGGGAATGTGCACTGTGTTGTTCTGAGTCTGAGTTCCCACTCTGCTGTGTGGCCTTAGGCAAGGGGCTTGCCCTCTCTGAGCGCCCATTCTGAAATGGGGATCCAGTCCCTCCTTCGAAGGGCCTTGGTGTGGTGGGGGGCGGGAAGTGTCGCAGTGTTGGGCACAGCTGGGAGTGGTCATGACCACACTGGTAAGCTGAGCACCTGCCCTTACCCACACTGCCTCCTCCCACCCTCATACAACCGCAGGAGGCAGGTTTATTACCATCCCCTCATACAGGCGAAGAAACTGAGGAGCAGGGAAGGGAATGAATGGCGAGAGCTCCCAGCCAGGATGCGGTCTGGAACCCAGGACAGTCCTCCACGGGTGCACAGTATCTCCTGAGCAGGGGCCCTGGGTCCGACAGGCCTGGATACCAACCGGCTGCACATCCCCGGAGTGACCCGGTGCCCTGGTCTGTAAAGTGGGGATTGCACAGTAACAACTACCACGAACTGGGAACTTCTCAAGAGCCAGGCCCTGTGCTGAGCACACTCGCTGTGTATTTGTGTGTCCGTTAACTGTCACAGCCACGCCATGAGGTGTGTGCTATGATCCCTCTTTCACAGCTGGGAAATCTCAGACCAAGAACGTAAGGAACTGGCTCGGGTTCAGGCCCACGAGGACTCAAACTAGGCTTTCGGGCTCCCAAGCTTCCCCCTTGTCTGCTGAGCTGTGGGAAGAGTCCTCCTCAGCAGGGCTTTATGAAGCTCAGACGGCGGCACATGCGCAAAGCCCTCCCACAGCCTGGCCCAAAGGAAGGATACAGCAAGTATCAGTCATTATCATCATCACACACCTGCTCATTCGAGAGAGGTTCATGGCGCGTGCACTGTGTGTCAGGCTCCGCTTTAAAGCTGGGCATATACACATGAACAAAACGAAGATCTCTGCTCTCACGGGGCTTCAGCATTGCCACCTTGATCATCTCCGCCACAGCCACCACCGTCACCACGATCCTTTCACTGCCATCACCACCATCACTGTTGTCACTGTAATGATCACCATGGCCAGCATGACCACCACCCGTTACCAACATCATCCCCCTCACCTCCGCGCACGGTACCTGGTGTTCACAAGTCAAGGTCCATCTCGCCATTCCATCTCTCCAGCGCTCCCCGGGCCTCAGAAATGTCATTCACATCTTGTGTTTAATTAGATACAAGATGGTCTTCTTTTGGTTGGGAGTGTCTTAGCCCCTCAAATCCCAGATAGGGTCACACATCTCCCCTCAGAGGCCTCTCTTCCTCCTCTGGGGTGGTGGTAGTTGGTGCAGATGTGGTGGGGGGCCAGGCCACCTCGGCCAGTCTCTTCACAACGTCACCCAGCTGCCCCAGACCCTGGGCAGCCTCCACCAGCCTGGCCAGCCCCAGTTCCAGGGCTTGGCGCTGCTGCTGGTCCTGCTCCAGGGCCTGGATCAGCCTCTGCAGCTGGCCACCCACGTCCCTCACAGCAGCCACCAGCTCCACCAAGGCAGGCGGCTCACAGGCCATGACCTTTACAGGTGGCGTTGGGGACACACATGGACCAAGGAGGCCTGGGCTCTGGCCAGGAGTCGGCTCCATGGTGAGGTGGTCAGGAGGAGGCTGAGCCAAGGGGTGGCCCGTAGGGGAGAGGTGGAGACCAGGGGTCACAGTGGGATCAGAGGCTGAGTGTGGGGTATGAGTTGGTGGACGGGTGACTTTGGGGCTCTGGCTTCCAGGCGGTGTTAGGTCCTCAGTGGGTGGTGTGTCTGTGTCTGGGGCCGGAGAGGGCCCGTAGGGGCTGGACCCCGAGGCTGGAGAGGGCTCTGGGCTCAACACTGGGAATGTAGGGAGATGAGGGTCAGCCCCATCTGCCCATGAGGTCAACCAGGGGTCCAGGCTGGGCTTGACCGTTGGGGCTGGAGTGGGAGAGGGAAGTTCTGTTCCTAAGGAAGTCTGAACGGACTTGATAGTGGTCATCGGGGTTGGGGTGGGGTCTTGAGTCATGGGGTGAGGAGTCGTGGCTGGGTGAGGGGTCGTGGTGGGGTGAGGGGTTGTGGCGGGGTGACCAGCGG